TCGAGATGATAATATTATTTCTTCAAGATCAAAAATCCGACAGCTCGGATTCATCGAGTCTCATTCTATCTGTGATTAACATAAATCACGTCGTTGCACGCGAGTGGTTCCACGTTATGCATCTAAATTACTCCTTGCATTAAATCTAGCAAATATATATTGTGCTCGAAAAGCTCGTTACGATGCGTCCTTCGTATTGTGTATTAAACAGTAATCATATTCGGTAATAACGAAAAAAAAACAAGACCTAATACTGAAGTAATTCGTCCCGTCCACCTACCCACAAGTAGGACCATCCCAGACTAATAGTGGAGGTTTTCCTCCTTTGTACCTGAACGTCTTGCGCCCGCCTACCCTTATCCTATCTATACATTCTGTTGTGCCCTTTTTATTATAATTTAAAGAGTGTGTCTGTGTATGTACCTTCGATAAATAGGGACCGTATTGTAAACGAATATTACCAACTCTCGTTGACCGTTTTGATAACAATAGAAAGGCGGAGATGATACGATGTACGTTTTCGGCAGCGTATCCGATACGCGTGATATTTCAGTCTTTCGGTTGTTGTTTGGGTACGACTACCACTAAGACTGCTTGTCGTCGTCTTTTTCTTCTGTTTTTCGTCTTTTCTGCTGCAGCCGGCTGACGACTCCGGCTGTCGTTTGTTTAAATCGTTGCCTTAGCCTTCAGCGCTGGTTACGAGACGAAAACGAATAGACCAAGTGGCCGACAGGCGCCGTGTTCGTGTTTTTGCTAATGCAGCAGCTGGCGCTTTTACTACGGCTAATATTAGTGCCGTCACCGCGAAAGGAGACTGAGCGATCGACCGACCGACCGACAATTCGAGAGATAGACAAGCGCGCATGAAGGGTTAGTGCGGTTGGCACTGCAACGCAGAAAGATTACGTGCACGTAAACGTAATTCTATGCGATCAAGCCCAGTATAGCAAGACGGATTTTGACAATGCATTTCTGTTCTTGTAACCGCGCATCTTTAGAAAGTAGAACGCAAACGCAGGTAGGCACATAGATAGACATTCGCAGCCGCAAATAACTAACTGCTCAGACACACGCGCAGACGCCCAGGTGTTATGGCAGCTAGCAATCGACTTCAGCTACCCCTCAGCTCTCAATTACTACCGCTACTGCGGTTATTGATATTGGCATGCATCACTGGGCTGAATCAACTGATGAAGGGACGACCCGTCACTCAGACTCCCGCTTGCTCGCCCACCCACATCCGATGCTGACCTATAGCAGAGTAAAGCAGCACTAGTATCTTTGTGGTAGGCCTAATAATAAACGGCTCGAAAATATCCAACGGAAGGATGCACCGCACCAGCCAATATAGCGAGTGACAGATCCCACGAAGTAATGTCGACTGTACAGAACGGCCTGGGTTAACATTCGTATTTAAAATCGTGGAATCTACTCTGAGCTTGATTTGTCAGTAGAAAATTAAAATAAGTGGAGAAGATCACGAACGGAGTTGCTCGGCAACGCGTAAATCGACCAGCTCTCAATCAGGTGATAGCTGTCTTCATCTATATCGCTTTTACCCGCTGTTGGAAACGCGCAACTCTCAGCCCGACTCAGACTTTAACGACTTAAGGTCTGCCCACCTCAGATTCCGCATACAGTTCGACCGCGACACGTCTTTAGCTCGACCCACTGGCTGGCGGTACTGGTGACCATAACCCAATTTCGTTTATGTTTAACAGTACAGTTACGGTCACGTTGTTGTCATGTTGGATCTTAATGATATTACGAGATTGTAAACGTCCACAAATACCTACAACCATTATAATAAACACAACAATCGTACGAGTCACTTGAGGAGAGTTTTATTCAATGGATACGGTATCCTACATAAAGCGCTTAACTTCACTGAATCCACCTTATTGTCGTATTCAAATAGCAGGCCTAGGCGTGTCTCCTAACGATCAGGACGACGGCCCATTCAACGTGTGAATATTCTTCGTAACTATATACAATTTTCAAAGGGTTAAAATACAAGCTTCGGAACTAGAAGCCTTTGAAAATGGTGTTTTCGCTCGACCAATCATCTCAAAAAATTGAGTTACATGTACATCCGACTCACCACTGGCTGTACACTGTCTTTATCCAACATTAACACAACACATGTTATCCTTTCATCGCCAGACACCACACGAACTATACATGTACACTGAGATTGAACACAGCTTACATCGAAAACCATTTGCCACAAATTTCCCTCTACCGTTTACTGTACTTGTTTCCGCCGATCCGTTTACGTTTATCTCGTACAAAATGCTCGTTCAACAAAAATGGCACCATGTCAATAATTGGTATTTTGTCACGTATAGATCAATGCGCACACGTGTTTGTTTAGGCACATGCATAAATTATCCACATTAGATTGATAAACAGGTGCTTTCTGCTATCAAACTGGTGATTTTTTTGCGTCTGTTACCCTGTCAAGTGTCCTGCTTTCATTAAAAGTCAATTGCTCTTACTGTACACACGTCGTACGCGGCGCATTGCGTATAATCGTGTACTGCTACTATTATTTCACAACGACTACTTTGTTCTCTGTCAGCTTATTGCCGCACCTTGTCCGCACAACGAGTGGCGCCCCTCCAGAGCGGCTCCGGCGCTCGCCGGCCAGACTGATAGACACCGGAGGTTATGCGGTATGTTGGAGTCACAGCTTCGTTAGACGATCGCTGCTTGTGACTCTTGCGTCAGCCGCACCGATCCTGAGTGACGGCACTTCGGACAGCGGCAAACGACTCCGTCGCTTGTTCGTTCGAGGGAACGAAGGAAGGACCGACACCAATACACGACAACACCAATGACGTTGACGCTGCTGCCTCCGTCGGCGAACGGCAGCCGAGCAACTCCCAAAGGCCCCTTCATCGCTACCGAAAACTGGCGCGTAAACAAAAAAAAACGCTTCAAGCGTCCCCTGTTGGCCGTCGAATGAAACTGGCGCGAAACCGAAAATGAATAGAACGCGCTGCAATGTATCAATCCGCATTGAAAGATGTCCATGTAAACTTTACACGTCTGCAGCCGACCAGCATAGGTGGTGTGCCGAACTCTAAACAACGGCACTTCACGATAGCGGCTGAAATGTCATTTATAACAGTACGTTTTTTCAAATAGGATATCCTTTGCTTGGCTATCACGCTGGATACAGCGTTTGATGAAGCTGTGCGCGCAACGAAGTGAGTCACAGTTTTCCCGTTACTAATTTCAAAACTGCTTATCAGTTGAAAATGTCATACCAACCTTCAGCAATGAGTTGCATGTTGCGAAACGCCTTGTCGCCTTTCTGCCTTAAATTCTACAGTCTCCACCTTCTTCAAGTTCGCAGCCAAACTCAGCTCTGCTGCCGCCGCATGCGGCCTTGGTTGGACCTGCTGAAGTTACGGCTCAATGACGTGTCCTAAATATCCTAAAGATATAAGCACAAAACACGCACAAACCATTCGTTCGATGACTTGAGGCCCAACAGACGAGAACGCTACCGCCAACACGGATTGCATTCAATAAGAATGTAAGAAAAGCGCCGGTGGCTAACGAGAATGACTGGGTTAGTCCTACGAGTACTCAGACGGCGAATACGATTATGGTTTTCAAAGTGAGCCTGACACACGACGCGCACAACGTGCCCTTCGGAACAATAGTCAGGGACTCCGCATACATGAGGTACAATCACCAGTGCCACATTTACTTTAGTTCGTTCGGGTTTTTAATCTGAAAACTCACAACATAAATGAACAACTTACACAGACAGTGTAAGAACCTGTACGACTGCATGTGAGTAAACAAGTCTCGATTTCGAGATCAGGGTTCATGTTTCGAGGGCAAAGCGTTTAAGCAAAAACGAGCTAGCGCATCAAAGATTTGTCGGGAGGTCGCTCAGGTTCGAATGAAAAGTTTTACAATATCGATAGACGCTATCTACCGCTACGACACGAATGATATCTTGAAGCTGCAGCCGAATTATACTGCTAGGAAGTGCGTACATTCTGCCCGTTATCAATTGTGTGCGTCGATCACTGCATTAAGTACACAACACCGAATCCAACCTTCGGTTTGGAGACTCATACTACCTAAAGACATCGTTGTCATAGCCGCCCCTCACATTTAGACCATGGTATTAAACGAACTCATGCCACGTATTAGATGTGACCAAGAAAGCTACCTTCGGTCCTGTGTTGCCCGGTAATCAACACCTTTGCTCTAAGGAACAAGCACTACGCAGCTAGAAATGCCTCATACGCTACCTAAACGAATTCAAGTTATTTTATACAAGCTCGTTGCTGTATTGTTCATTTCAATTGAGGTCATTCGAGCGTCAACATGTGCAACGAGGGCGAATGTGTTGAACGCTGGCTGAATACGATTGACTTACCGAGAGTGACCCTTATCTGTGCGAGCTCCTTGCCCTTCCACCGCATATGGCCTGATAAAGGACGTTGCGCTTCTGGACACGAAGGGAACGTTGAGCAGATCTAGTCAAGATGTCGTTGCCTATCGTTAGCATGCTACGGCGCTACGCACTTGTTCGAGCATGACACTGAACTTCCACAAGCTTAGTATCGTGTTTATATAAGCAAGTTACAATTTATATTAATAGAAAAACACTTAGGCATAGACAAAATTTCCGGCTACTATTCAGAGCTGGTTTAGGCAAGAGTTAGTGACGAATGGAAAAGATGAAAACGATATATATAAGTTACCTGCTTATAAGCATAACATGTAAATAGACCTTGACGAGACCACTGTGTAAGCCCGTTACTGATCTCAAGTTGTTGTATATAGTGGTCAGTAGTGACCAGCAGGTCACGAGATTGAAAGGCACGGTGTATACAACAGATCTTAAGAAGCGAAAAATCCTTTGTGTAAGCGTAATCTAGATTCAGTACTGCACAATCATCTGACCAAACTACGTAAAGGGAAAAATGGAATATTTATTTGCACTGTTTTTGGAGGCAGAAAAGCATGTCTCTGCAACCAACGTTGATTTGCGGCTTATAAAAAAAGAACACTCAGATAAACATAAACACCAAAACTTTATCATAAAACGTATTCCTCAAGATTCTTAGCTAGACAGTTTCATTCACTGACATATTGCATTCACCAGTGTGGATCAGTATGCCACGAAAAACTGGACGCGTGCGACCGTTGCTCCCAAAAAAGCGAGGTAACATTAGTCAAACAAAAAACGCGTGGACTCCAAAGTAATGTTTCTTTGGATATGGACTTTTTAGAGAGATAGCAGGTGCGTTCGTAACTGATCCTTGAGGCCACGATCGTGTAACGCAGCGGTCTAACCTAAACCCCCAAAAAGAAGGGTACCGTGGTCAAAAAAAACAGGACCACATTTTTATGTCGTTGCTTTTGTTGAATCGTCAGTCGAGATATGATAGCACTATCACCGTGCTACAAGGGTAGCAATATTCAAATCTAATTCAGTGTTAGAAGATTATTTTTACATGTCGCCATGCGAGAGTTGTGATAGTACGTAGCAAATCAATACCGATTGCTAATACCAGATTCACAACAAGGTAAATTTGCCCAATAGTCCAACAGCTGTTTTGTCGTCGGCAGACTACGTTATTGATGCATTGTTATTGAAATTTTTTTCGAAGAGGTGCATTTTAGCGAAATAAGCTTTGTTCAATGGCACTGGGCTACGTAAACACCTCAAACCCTATATATTATACTATACCTGTATGTTACAATTTTGTAGAGTTAATAAAATTTGCAATACGTAATTAATGGTATAAATTTATAGAGTAAGTTTCCGCGCAATGCATAATAATTGGAACATCAAGTGCCACGCACGTTGTCTAGTCTTTAGGACGGGTCACGAATGGCCTGTCAGTTTACTGAGACGGGCCCATACTTTCGCAGCAGGCCCCAATTTCATGCCCAGCCGAGCTACAAGCTGATCAACATCTAAGAGAAGCAAAGCCTCTCCATCAATCTCTTGCGAGCGAAACGCTTCCGCATGCTTCGCACAACCTGGCACACCTCCAATAAAAGCGACCACGTCATCGATGCTCCAGCTATAAGGTGACGTATTTTCGGTTCTGCTAGAATCAAAGGAAGTGGCCACTGGCGTCCTTGGCGAACAACAGTCGTTTTTTTTGACTTCCGATTGGATGTCCTGAAACATCGCAATGTTGCACAAATCGTTGAAAAAATGGCTCACGGGTCAAAATAGGGCTTAGGAATAGCTTTTGTTTCCTTTATCTATATTTCAACCCACCATACAAGGTAGTGAAAAAATTTAGTTATGATTAAGAAATATTATCAAACAACGAGTGCTAGAATCAGTTTGTTTATGACAAATTTAATCAATTAACCTGAAGCAGTCTCGCCTGTTTGGATTTCGGCACAAGCATGCGTATAACTGCTTGTAAGAAAGTCTTCTGATTGATTAATTACTGAACGTACAGGCAACGGCGCGACGTTTCCAGAGACTGATGCGCTCGACTCTCGGCATCCTTGTCGGGTTTGTGGGGTTAAACCTGCAATCCAATAGCATTCGGGAGCGGCGACATACTCTTGTGCTTCTTGATGCCACGTCGCGAGGGGAGTTGCAATCTGCGGACCAACCGGTATCCAACACTGAGCCCCCTTGTTAAACAGCAGAGGAAGTGTTGGAGTACCTGGAGTAGTATGCGATGATCCTGACCCTAGTCCTGAAGGCATAATAACGCTTAGAGGATGATGTTGAAGAAGTGGTGGCGGAGTTTTGAGTTCCTCCTCGGCGGACTGTTGCTCTCGTCGTTGTTGCTGGGGCTGCTGCTGCTGTTGCTGTTGTTGCTGCTGCTGCTGCTGTTGTTGTTGTTGTTGTTGTTGTTGTTGCTGCTGCTGTTGTTGTTGTTGTTGTTGCTGTTGTTGTTGTTGTTGTTGTTGCTGCTGCTGCTGCTGCTGCTGTTGTTGTTGTTTGTCGTCTGCCACCAGAACGACTTCATCGGAACCGGAATTCGCGCTCGATTTAGCTTGTTGATTGGCCGCTGCTTGTTTCACTTCTGCCTCCTGGTAAGAAAGGATTGTCAGGCACACTATTTGTTAGTTAGTAAAACCCGGATATTAATTTAAATCAATAAGACCTATGAATAGAATTGATTTTGACGGTTGTCGGAAGTCATGGTTGTCGCTCACTTGATCCGCTTCTAAATGTCACAATCAAATTCCCTGGAATTGTGGCTAAAGTTTTTGAACACGAATACCAATTCGATGGAAGGAAGAAACTGAAGATTTTTTTTTTGTTAAAAACGTAGGCAAAACAGCAAGCTGATCCTGCCGCGCTATGCTACTCAAATGGTTCAATCTGTTTTTCTTTGCTAAATCCTGACGCTTAATAAACAGTAATTGGCACAATGAATCGATAAATATTTAGTAAAATTAAGTTAAAGTAACTTCACAAGGTATTTGAAGGATCTGAGATCCGCTCCTGGTTGGTCGTTCTTGAAAATAATTCCTATTAAACTTCGGACATAGAAATGCGGGTGTACAAGATCCGTGGCGTAAATTTTCAGCCTCAGAATGCAAGGATAAAGGGGCTTTGTCACCTTTACATCCCCAAAACGCGGCATTATGCTCCGCACGACATAGCATTTCCACTGTATTCTACGAATCTCTTGGGTGACAGATCCTAATTTATACATCAAACAAGTGCTGAATGGACCGAATATATGCAGCGCGCCGGTTTCGAGTCTAGGCCTAATCAAATACCAATACTTTTCAAAGAATCTTTAAGTACATTTGCAGTCGTGACACAACGGAGCTCTAGATTACACTTATTTTAGATTGTTTACAAAGGTTTCGAAAATGAAAGTCGCATTATGGTCGGTTATCAATATCGAGAGCAAAAGCAGGCGAAAAAATGCTTTGGAAAAAAGCTTTAGAAAAAAAAAAAGACAACAAAATAGTATCAACCATCTTGTTCGCGCATCCTCAGCGAATAAGTGTTTTTTTTTTTGCAAGACACTATTAAATCTGTTAAAATAGTTGCCCCTACAGTTTCATCTATTACTACGTTACGTTATGAGCACAATCCATCCTGATATCGATTCAAATCACTAACTGGTAGACGAATTTTTACCCGAATTTTTACCAAACGAAAAGTACTTACTCGCGCAGACGACCTAGTGCTGCGGCGAGGTACAATACGCGACGGCGTGGGTCCCTTTATTTGTGTTACCTCTGTAACCGAATCAAACATTTTGCACTGACAAACTTTCATTTGTTAAGTACTTCACGTACGATTAGAGGCTAATTATTCAAATCAAACATGGTTTTAGAGTTTAATTCAAGAGAAAAAAAGAATGCCCTAAACAGTTTACAATGAAAACATCTCAGCGGAACGGGGTACGACAAGACTACAGGATAGCTCTTCTATTGATCGCAATAAACTATTCACATTCGCAGAATTCAATACGAACAGATCAAAATTGAATGTTTGAGACATATTTGTGACCGATAATTTAGATTTTGTCTGTAGGACTAGTCGCGTAAGATGAATAAACAATATAAAAACATACAAAATAGCCGTGTCACGTTTAATAATATTGAATCTGCATATAAGAACACGATTAATCGTCTCACCAGGGCGTTCCGTTATAGCAGAGTTATTCTGGACCGTGTTTTTCGCGTCGCTGTTTTCCGTAGCAGCATTTTCGTTTGCACTAACGGCGAGTATAGAAGAGCCTGTTGTTGAATCACTCTGCTCGGTACTATCGCCACTGTTATCGGACTGAGTGTCAATTGATCCCGGTGAATTTTTTATAGGACGCCCTCCACGGGACTTAATAGGACGCGGCAGATCATAAGCTGTTGTTGCGTCATTGTTGAAACGGCCTCCATTGAGCTCATACTTTTTCACACCGGCGGCGTATGGATTGTGTCGCGCACCGTTCCTCTGACCGAAGTATCGTACTGGCTTCACCTGCGGTTCATCAATCATATATGTTTAATTTAATAACAAACCGAGCAGGATTGTTGCGCGAAAAAGTTGGACACCATCAAAATACAGCACTTCTTTGAATTACAAAAACGTACCGAGAGTTCTCAGGACAACTAATACTTCGAGTTGTTTTTCCTATGAGCGAAACCGTTGTAGACTAGCAAGTCAGACAAAAAGGAGCCTTGACACTGAAGTATAAGAAAGGTCATCTTGGCTTCAATGAATGTTTTCATCTCTATTCGAACAGATTAAACACACCAATATTAGGGGTTTAACACTGTCCATAAAACTAACTGCATAAAATATGTTGGTGCCAACCCAAAAATAGAGACCTTGATCACTTCTAATCACCAGAACGTGTTACAGAACAGTGCTTTCGACGGATACGCCAGGGATATATTGAAAGATATCTGACGGACAATTTACAGTACTACATGATGGTTGCAAGTTCTTATGCTATGATCTGTACAGCCAAGCGTTTTGCACTTGTATAGCAGATGTGTTGAATATACGCCACGCGCAGCTTCTACCTATGTTAGAATTTCAATCGACGAACAGATGACCAAAGCATAGCTAGACCCATTACTATGATCAGACCATATAACACTGGCTAGCATCGAAGAGGATCTTATTATATGAATGTGACAGGACATACCCCAGCTAGACGAGATTCTAACGTTGGCTGGACAATTACCGTAAAATTGTCGTCGGTCCTGACGCGTTCGAGGATTCGATCGACGGAAGCTACTCGAATTCCCTCCTTTGCTGTCATTGCAGCTTCACTATTACGATGAACGTCACAGACCCAAATTAGAATGAAATGAAAAAAACGAAGGCTAGCAGACAAATTCGTTTACGACTTACAGCTCAACAACTTATAGATCATTAATGAAGCTTATCGTAGGCAAAACATTCAAGTCATCTCAAACGACGAAGTGTCCTATTTAAGGTAGTGCGACGAAATTGTCCCGCCATCTTGAAAACGAACGTGTTTTTTGTAAATGACGACGAAACCTTTTTTGGACTAGCTGTTGTCGTACCGTTTGTAAAACTGTAAAAACTGTAAATCTTCGTTGACCTATAAAATTAGCCGAGCTAATTTCGTATTTGAGTTAGGGATCAGACCCAGACCGTACCGCAGATCAATGAAAGCTCTTCTATTTTAAGGACCGATCGAGATTAGTAAAAAAGAAGCAGGAGATCTAGCATCGTATACAGCAAGTGCAAGTTAAAGCGTCGACTTAATGGGTAACTTGGATCGTTGTGAAAACCTGGCAGTGCTATTCCACGGGAAGCCACAACAATATGAGTGTATATCTATATATGAAGTTCCACTGACGTATCACGGCGAATAAACGAGAGTAAAGGAAGTATACTACGGTATACTGTAATCAAGAGATTTGTCTGAAAGTTACAATAATAAGACTGGGTCTGACTGGCAAAGCCTTAACGCTTTCTACTTTACATTATTTAACAGCTAAAACAAGCCAAGTGTAGGTCAATTATTTTTCGTTTGTATTAATTGAATTGCAGATGCGTCACTGCTCTGAAGTTGTAAAGGAACTAGTGACTAAATCTTCTACAACGTTAGGAATCTCTCAACTGATGAGACTAATAGCATTATGGTCTTCATTCGTCTGAGGTGTCGCGGACTAGCTAGCTGGCTGCAACCGTCATTTCCTGAGTCGCTAAGATTTGAAAAAAGAGCTTTTCCAATCACAGGTCATAAAAAAAATGTACTCTTACTACACTTAGGGTTCTATTTCGTACGTGGATGTGTTTGATTAACCTCAGAACCCAAGTTCATTTAACGGACTTGTCGTCTAACTTAACACTGATGTCCCAGTCCCCATACGTAATCACTAAACGGACGTCTCCTATTCAACTTTCGTTACGACGCTATGTTGTCAAATCTTTCTTAAAAAATTGAAAAACGCGATTTAAATAAGTTGCTTGGAACCGGCTGCGATAGAAGACAACGTAAATCGTTCGGAGAGAATATTTTATCAATTTCCAACGAAAACAACTTTTTCTGATTAGGATAAACCATACCTAATATATATATATATATATATATATATATATAGTTTATAATATACAAGCTGTAGTTGGCGTTGATCAGAGGAAATCTTGACCGAGTCAATCGAGCAGAATCGTGTGCGGTTAAATACTTAAAAACGATGATCAGCCGAGCAAATATAAGTCGTACGACTTGCAACACGTCCCCAAGAATCATGGCCCTTGACGTGAAGGATATATAAGTGTCGCTGTTCTTCTGAAACCCATGAATATTTCATTGATGATGAATTTTGTTTACGCACTGATCCAATGTTAGTACCTAGTAAAAAAGATTAGAAAAAAAAGATGCGAAAAAATAGCAGTCAGCAACAAAATATTGAATGTAAATTATATATTTACAGTAACGCATCTAGCAAATTACAACGCGTTAAATTGGCTAAACGGCGACGAGGACCATTTGGGGCACTTACCCAGATACCCGTACGCCCCCCTGATACGATTCAATACACCTGCGTTAATCTGCTACGAGCATACTGGCCAGAATACTCTAAAATATTGCTCTCTCATAAATGCGCGCCAGTTTTTGTGCGGTCCTTAATATAATCGTATAGACACATTTATACAGAGTAATCTAAATGCGTTTCTAGCAACGATACCGCGTGTGACAATGCAACTTCGCTGCTCAGTCTAATATTGCGCACTAGTTTAACGTTATGACGGCCAATAATATAAAAGAAATCCCGCCTTTCTCTCCCTTCATCTAGCTCCGTTTAATGGTTTTCGGTGGAGGCTGTCGCGCAATTATCGAGACCACCAAAAATACTACCTTTAACTGCGTGCATTTAGAGCTATTCGGCACGACAATGGGTTTATTTTCGTCCTTGTTCGCCCTTTATGTAGTTGTGAAACTGCAGATTAGGTCCTGAACCACCTAAACGTAGATGTACGAGTATATCGTATCCCTACATTTCGTATGAGCGTTCCATGTTGGTCAGTGGCAAATACCAAACGAGTGCTTCTATCCGAATTAAGAGAATGATTACCTTAGTGCAGGGTATCCTCAGTTAGGGATGACATCTCCGAAAATATAGTTTTTCTCTTACATCTATAAAGGTTCACGAAGAGCACCTGTTACCTTGTTGAGGAAAGATACGGCCAGCCTACTGCTATGTGGTGCGGCTGCATGATGTGTTAAGATGTTTTACATTTTTTGTATTAGTAATATTAGAACCAAGGCTAACGAATGCACACAGGTCTGGTAGACAATTCCTCGCACGTAAGAGCATCTTACGATAAGCACATTGTACGATTTCGCGTTCTATAATCTAGAGTACTGATGTAGTAGCCAAATTTCGGTACGTTGATCTGCGCATGCAGATTTTTGATCGTTCGGAGATTTTCCCGAGGGGGACAAAATCGTGTGGATGTTAGTCTTTAATGGCAAGCGCCATTGAAATCGGAACGCCGACCCAGTCACGATATACGTTCAAATTGTATTGAAAACGATGAAACAAACCAGATTACCCTCAACTGTTTTGAACCTGTAAGGAAAATTCTGTACGGCGCTTATAGAAAAACCTAGAGCGTTTTTAGCGTAATCGATTTACTTCACTAGAAGATCAGACATTTTCAAATGGAACAACATGGCACGCCTGAGGCTCACCCGTGTAAAATGTGTCATGAGAATCACACATAGTCATACAACGAAGATGTACTAGTTGCATGAAAGGCATTAACCAAATGATTAACTAATCAATTAAAACGTATTTGGTAAGCCGTTCGCGTGAACGCGACACGTTTCGATGTTTAGCACTCGCTTGGATTCTGGAAAATCGCTGGTAATGCTGAACCGTCCGGTTCCACTTTCCCGTTGGAAGAACCGAGTCCTTGATGGGAGAAAAGCCCAAGTCAGGTATTTAAATGCGGTGAATGCTAACGCTGAGCAGGAACATTTTAGGAAACCACAAAGTATTCAACATGAAGGTAAGGCAAATAATATGAGTTTTGATCGATTCTGGAAATTTCAGAGTATGTTTTCGCAACAAAATTAAGAAATCGCAGTTGTAAAAAAGAGTAGGCTCTCTTTAGTAGGCGCATTAGCACCTTTCAAATATAGAAATTCATCAAACTGGTTTGTTTTATCGAGAAATACTTTTGAAAACGCTGATTTTAATAAAGCTCTTCATTAATAGGGTCGTAATCGAGAAGCCACCGCGAAATAATTTTAGATAATGTAGCTTTATGATCTTCACGGCATTGTCACCCCTATAGACGAGGTGCTGCGAAGTAACTGCGCTTATTTTCGTATGTTTAGATCATATTATTCGCTATTGTCGTTGGGACGTGTTGTTCAGATGCTTGGTCAAGCCTTGTTGTACCTGCTGCGCCGGCCTTGCTCGCTACGGGCGTATCTCAGCAGTTCAAAAACGATGACGTGCGTATTGTTTAAAAATCTAAGAGAACCAAACAACTCCTCCTTGACTGGTCCACTTCCGAATATCAGCATATATCGATGTTAATTCATCAAGGACTCAGCTCTACGTGTAGACACTGAACTGGTCGTGCGTGTTCTATGTTTTGTCGTATACAGTAATGATAGTTATGCTGAACTCTTACTGTAAGAGTTCAGTGATAGGTTTCTACAAGCTGGATAAAAGATATTCGTCTAACACATATTACTTCACTCTTAGGGCATTGGGAACTATAATTTCGGATATGACGAAGCTCATGGTACCGGAAGTTCTTTCAGAAGGGAAAGTGGCAATGCCTTAGGGGTAAGGAATGATCTTTGTTGCAATACAGCATTATGCTTAGGTACTCGAATTAGTCTCTGAGTGCAAAACAAATACGAGATCAAATGATTACATGAAGTTTTATTCATTTTTTTAGCATGTGTATGAACGAAACCCCTCGGGGTTGAATCAAATCGAATTTTCTGTTCTTTAATTGTTAGATCAAAACTGGTTCATATGGTCTTCGAGAAGCAGACGGCCGGGTACGTGTCGTTAACTACGTCGCTGATGGTGCAGGATTTCGGGCTTCAGTAGCCACAAACGAACCAGGGACCTCTCCTTCGCTTCCTGCAGGTTAGTTTATATAACATTTGTACAATTGGACAGTAACGGTTTTTTCTGCTTAGCAATGCTTAACAGCATTAAGTAGCAAATTGGCCAGTTCGAAAGCTCCTCTTTTTTCTATCTAGACTAGACGCTTGCTTTCAGTAGGGCAGCAGAAATGGCGAAAATATCCAGAGCAAAGTCCTCTGATGAGCTCCAGGGTACTACCGGCTGGATAGAACAAAGGAATTTCAATAACTGCAAGCTCTAGTTATATTTGTATTTCTAATTGAGGGTAAATTCAATAGACAATATAGCGGAACTGTGTATCACGTACATGATCCACACGTTTGCAATCCTCGGTAGGAAAGACTAAACACATACCTTTACCAGAAGCCGGCATATTTCACAAATATATATTCTATAATATATATATAAATAAATATATATAAAGAAAAGTTTGCAGACATGTACTTAAACATCTGAATGGCTGAAACAGGATGAATTAAAGATAGGTTAACATAAACTAGGTTAGACAATTGCATTACGAAACGACAGCCGTGGCAGCGGAGCAGAGACTTTCTTATATGTTTTCAAAAAAAAAAATATGTATAGGTGTTCGAAACACGAAAAGCGTAATATATAGCAGCTTACATAGAGTATTTAATTTGTTACGTATTACAGGTGCGCTCATTGTTAAACCAGTTGTTCGTGCTACTGCTTCCGCGCCGGTCGCCAAGGTTTGTAGAAACTAACCCAATATGAAGATCGGTTTTACGTTGAATATGATATTATAGTGCAACTGTCGAATTATGCGCCGGCTCCAAATGTAGACAGCTTAGACTTCATTGATTCATTAGCTGTACAAAACGAAAACACTCTCATCTTGATTTCAACTTGAGGCTCAAACGACTCACATGACAGTTCCAGTGGCACCATGTCTAACTTTGCAGCAGATATCTTCTTAATAAGGACAGTGACGGCGGTCAGATATTGTCATGTTGAGACTGATTGAACTCTCATTGATTTGCTCTCTAAATGTAATTATTCCATGGATCGAGCTCTTTCCTCCTACTTTTTTCAGTAGCCACAACGAACTTGTTGCTTTATTATGAGACAAAAAATTATAGATTTTCTCTTATAGCTAACATAGCGAATGAACGCGATTAATTGAGAATGAAAGGTATTCCAGATGTACGTTTACCACCCTGCATATGTATGCATATTTTAACAACTAAGCCAATTGCGGCCAGAGCAAAAATAGATCTATGAAATTTCACTGTGTTAGGATCGAATATATTATTACGAATGAAATACCTTTCACTGAACCTGAAGAGTTTGGCACGACCGTTAGTAGCAAATGTAAGCTCAAATGAGGGAGAGAATCTCTACCATCTGAAGTTCTACTTGCCATAAGATGTTCACGCGCTTTTCGTTTTAAAGCAGATGTGATAAGTAATCTTCAGCGAATGGCGAAGTGCACCCCCATAGACTTTGCGTAAATTAGGTAGACTGGAAAAAATGCTATGATTTTACGCAGCGTTAATTACTGCGTTGTCTGCGCTTCCCGACGCTGCTTAATCTCGCTGCGTGCTCAGTACGTGCAGCATTGGTTTGCACATTCAAAATTTCGACTTTTTATGAATAATAAAGCTATCTTTTAGAAATAATTTCTTCGATTTGATTATTTTAATGTGTAACCTCATTCCCTAACAGGTGGCTCTACTAAATGGACATCCTGTTGCTGAGCCCGTTATCCATACTCATACGGCAATTGCCCCTGCCTACAACATTGTGAACTCCTATCCGGGCTTCTACTATTAAGCTAGTTCAAGACCCTGATGAGTCGCAATACCGCGCTTTGTATATTTGCACATACGTTATGCTTCGACTACTATAAATTAGAGAAGACCGCCAATAAAAGCTATACACGTATACCAGAACTTTGCCTTTACTTCTTTTCGATAAAGGTAACACCTTTTTCATTGTTAACTTAAACGACGCATGAAGAATTTGAGAATTTTACTTGTGTTTTAGAGAATTCAATGAATAGCTGACATTAGTTACAGTAGCACATCGATTTTTTCTTGCAACCCCAGTGCTGCGTCTCGATAACAAACGTTATGCTGTCATAAGCGAATCCGGCGAAATTAATTAATTTTTGAACGACGCGCCTCTAAGAGATTTCACTGGTAAATATTCCAATATTATAGAAACTCGTGAAGAAGAACCGGTTGAGTTTAATTCAGGAGAAATCAGCGCTTTGCGATCAAATCTTTAGCCTTTGAAGGTCACAGCGCTACAGAAATTTGTAATGATTAGTGAAAACCTTAGACACGCAGGCTTCAAACGAAAGCACAATATGTAAATGGTACAAACGCTCCTAGAACGACGATAGGTGTGTTAAAGAGAAACTAAGAGGTGACCAGACGTCGAAATCCGAATGATAAGTTATTCAACTTCAAAGTTCGCCGGATTCGCTTGTAAAAATTTTTTACTCCATGATGACCTCTTTACATTTGTAACCGCAAAGCTACTCCTGTAGAAAAAAAACTGTTTAGGCTTTAAGTGATATTTGGTTTTATTAAGTACATTGCTAATATTAATTCATACAACGTCAGGCGTATCCTTTGGAAGATGCAGCAAAACAAGTAACAGACTACAGTTTATTGCTTCTAATTTAGATTTAAAATTGTCATAAAAGATTGCTTTGTCATGCGCATAATGACGATAAATTTATGTACAAATATACCCCAATCTAAGCAAAAAATAATTAATAACACTTAGGTCACATATAATAGTTTTTAGACTGCGTATAGTGCGCTGATGTACACTTGCTTGCAACACAATTTAGTCGACCGGAGGACTACATAATAAGAGTAGTTAGATCAGAGTGAAGTATCTTGACAGACATGTGCATTGACGGAACAGTTGGTTTCTGACCGGCCACTTGGACCGTGCGGAAAAATTTCAAAGAGGCGTGTCAATCAGCTTTTTCTCACAGCCATTGCTTGTGAAGTTGTTCGTACTCCTCGGGACTGAAGAACGGTACGCTAGTTGATCTAAAATTTAAAGATAAGTAAATGTTAAACATACAAAAGTGCCTCAGCATAGCCCATCCTTCAGAGTAAAATCTCGAAGCGAGAAACTCCGATAATATTTCGCTTTAGCCAATAATGATCGTTTAATATTTAGTGTCTGACCAAACAGATTGAAAAATCTTTGAAACTGAGTCGTTTATACTTAGGTAATTCAACCATTTGAGATGAGCTTGACAAATCAAAATTGGTTTGAGATTTGTCATTTTGTTCTAAATTAAAAAAACTGGACAAAGGTTCTATACTTTAGCTAAGTCCCTTCCAAGAGTCTATTACGCTTATGCACGTTTTGCGCTATTTCCTGATGAGCATACGAGAAAATCATATCCACTTACTCTGCAATGAGTTCTCCACAGTACAGGCACTCTTGGGCGCATAAATCTTCAATGCTGGTCTTCGTTGCTGCGGCACCTACAGGAGGACCTTGTGATGATCCGCGAGATGCAGTATCTGTTGTTTTTCCACGCTGTGAACCTCCGGGGGCAGTGTCACGGTACTGAATGGAAAGCATATTCTATCAGCTACACTTAATTGTACGCTAAGTATATCATTCATACAACGCCTGTGCAACCCAAATACAGCTATTGAAAGAAACTATTCTTTAAGTTTAGTATGTCCACGATGGAAACGCCCTGTTGTTATCCACTGACCGATTCTAAAGCATTACTGTTCTGCGATTGGAAGTTGGGCGGAAGTGGCATTTCTTTGATTGCTTCTTCAAGGCACTGTGCGTGAAAACGATGCAGACACGGGAAAACAAAAAACGCTTGGCTGAGCAATGCAAATCCACACGCATCACATTGGTGGCCACAATCGACTACGTAACACCGGTTACGTACTTCAACGATCTCTGTCCGTATTTGATCTGTTGCGTTTGTTGAATCCGTCATCGAATCGCGCAGGGTGCTAATTTGACCCTGTAGAAATAGCAAATACAATTTGAACAAAACGGTTCCTCTGGGTCACTTTTACGCTAAGCTTACAAGCATATTTGTAGGAAGCTTTTACTTGCGACATATGCTAGTAAATCAAGTCATATGGAATCAGTTTCGCACTGTGGAAGTAAGACACCTACAAACATCTTCAGATGGGGACTTTCCATCCCGTGCGTCTCATATTCTTGCAGAGTAGCAGCTAGTTTTCGACACACTCTAGAACAGACGCGCATACTACTGACCTTATACGACTGTAATGAGTTGCAAATCGCTTCCTTGAAATGGTCAATACAAACGAACTCTGGGAAAAATGGCAACACGTCCTCGATTCGAAGAAGCTCACAACTAGCCAAAAGCTCCATTGCTTTGCCTACATCCTCGCCTTTACGAATAACATGTGCCGCGATGACTAACCAAAGTTTTTTACGTTCCTCATCGTCGACAGGCTTGTTGGCAATACTCTGCGCTAAAGATACGTCCTGCAGCTCCTGCAGCGCAAGGTCCAACGCTTCGCTATATAGACCCATAACCTAAAATCGTTCAGAAGAAAAAAAATGTTAAAAATGCTTTTACGGAAGCGACAAATATAGCCATCGCTTATATCTTATGGTGTGTCTCAGTTAAACTTTTTGATGCATACATTTCAATACGGCACGTTACGGTGCAGAAATACGATGAGCTAAAAAAGCTTTGTGGACATTAGCCAGACTAAAGCCCACAAAGTGAACGCATTTCTCGCACTGGCTAAAACACTGGGAAACGAGTCGCTATTTCACGTACCTCATAGACATGTAGCGAGGCTTTGTGTAATTTGAGTTCAGAAAACATGCGCAACGCGAACTTTGCATCGTACCGCACGTCGGACAGCTTATCTCCCTGTCAAAATAAGATGTAGAATTTTCTATTAGACTAAGAAGATGTTGTTCACTCTTGACAGCGAAACCTCTCTGTTTCATCTTCCATTCACGCTACGAAAGTTTAAAAACGCTAGGACAACGCGCTGCAATTATATACTGCTTGAAAGTAGGTGCTCTATTGTTCCAAGATAAACTGAGTCATTTCCACCTGATCCCTAAGATACTCAAGATGCCGTTGTAATTTTACGAGCCATCACATAATACGAGATTCGGCGGTGAAGAGTAGAGCAAATCATATGTTTGTAATGAAAGCACTATGTTAATTATAGTGGAAAATTTCACCATTTGTAACATGGTTTTGAATTACCTGGCTGGTAAGATAGTGTTGGAGCTTTTCCTTATCGCCCAGCCGGGCGTACAATGCGATCAAGTAGTTGTGAATTGCCTCATCTTCTTCGTATCCTTTGTCAACACAGTGTTCTAGGTATCTAGAAAATCACGATAAGATACTATCACTTAGAAACGATATCGTTTCCTGAGGTTAGCTTTTGAACTGCTGCAGATTACCCAGATTTATGAGGCTCACTCATTATATTGATCGCGGATTGCTGACGAAAAACCCAATGTCTGGCAAAAGAAACACAACAAGAGTAGTTCTTTCTTAGCTACAAATGCGGTGGTTTTTACAGGTTTGGCAAAAGGAGTCAGCTAAATCATTGAGCGATTTGACAACATCTAAGAGCGCTTTGTGCTTGTCAAGATGTAAACAAGAGCTACTCGACGAATGAATAAAATTGTATATGCAGGCACTCTTCCTGCTATAGGGTAGTTTAAAGTGTGTTTCTTTTTTTTGGCTGGATTGGAAGCAATATTTGTGGGATTTTAGCTCACGTCTACTTTTAATCACGCTTTACTTCACTTACCGAATAGATTGCAAAATGTGGGGTGCTCGTAGCTGGAACGTGTCGCTTGGACTGTCCGAGCTATCGCCGTATGGACCAACCTCTTCGTTGGCGATGTCGTTGCTAGGCTTTACCGACGTCAACTGCACTAAAGCTGGAATTAGTTTGACGGGATCTAGATTGTCGGATTCTGCTATCCAACAGTTAACCAGCTGTTCCGGAAGCCGTGACATCAATTCAGGGGAAAATCGATAATAGAGTTCGGCACTCCTAGCAAGTGAACAAGAAAGAGATAGATTGAACCCGTTTAACATTTATATTTTGCATTTGATCTTTCATTCTAGGTGTAGAATTTATTATTATTATATACTATAGAATATTATTATATATTATAGAATTATTATGTGTAGAGAAAAGAACGCTTAAGTACGCTTGGAATGCCGACGTCATTTTAAAATGCAAGAACTAAATAGTTGTATCCACAAACCTTTGGTTTCGTAAAACCATTAAGGCCTTCTCATAACGTTTGTTTTGTATGTGCTGCTGTATGACCCGCACATAATCCTTCATCATTTCTGAAAACTCTAACAACAGCTCCTGAAAAAATATAAAAATAATGTTATTCATTATCGTGCGGAAGAACATCATTTAAGAAGTAATGAAAAGGACTGTAAACATTATTGCTATCATTTACAAATGAGAAACCAAGATAATAAAAACAGCTGTTACGCATGTGACTTTACAATTAGGTATCTAGTATTTAGTACGCAGCACGTATCTATCAATACTTTTCTGACGTTTCATTATCGATCGAAAAACCTCATCTCCGTGGTTCGCGATGAGCTTATAGAAGGCTTGCTGGTTATGCTTTATAACTTCGCAAACACTTCCGGTACTCAGCATATTCCTTAGTTCTTCGTCCAGAGTTGCCAGTTCGGCTTTGACGCTTGGAGGACACTCAGCATCTTTCTTTAAAGCTTGATGTTTCAGATGACCTAATCTGAAAATGTAGAAAATTCCGTGGCATGTTGTAAGTGTTCGTTATGTAACAGCCGTTGCCTAGTTAACAAAACTAGGATCTTTCTCGGATTATTGGCGTAGTTTGCTTTTTATTGAAAATTTAACCGATGAATGCGCTATGAACGATGCATTACCGTTTCACAGCACCTTTTTTTAGAAAGATTATTGCAAAAAACGCACTATTTATGTGCAGTTTGTACCTGTTAAGATACAGCTGAATCAACCAAGTGGCAACCATGGTCAGCTGTGTCTTTTTTGATAGGTCTGTCTTTATCAAGTTTGTAAGACTATTTAGCTTCTGCTTCAGGAGAATACGCAAAGCTGAATCTTGGTCCACTTCTAGGAAGCGTAGCGATACCTGAGAATAGGAGTATGCTCAATGGTTATATATATACTCCAGCACATTAAGCAATCAGAGAAACTAGATTTTTGATAGATATTACAACTAGAGGCACCCAGTTTTACATATCGCATACTATGCTGAGAAAGGTCTTTATTTTACTCATCTACTATGTGGCCAGTATCAAATTTTTTCCATTTTCTCAAAACGTTTGCCCAGAGTTTATTTACCTCTTCGAACGACGCAAATGTATCACTGAATTTCAGCGCCGATTCGTCAAACTGTCCCTAAATAGACAAAAGAAAAACAAGGTATGATGGTGTGAAATAGCGTTAAGGCCAATAACTAACCAGACTCAGCGCGTTCGTATGAAATAATTCTAGGTGCAAAATGAAATTTATCAATTTTTACGGTCAATATAATTAAGCAATGGCTTTCTTACTGTTAGTATTTGATCATATTTATATTTCAAGCTCTTTAATAAGAAGGCTTTTCGAATGCAAAGCTTAATAAATAAAAATTTCAAATAGTATTCGAAGGTAATCATTAGGTTAAACTTTCCTAGGCTATACAGCTATTGCAGTCGAAATATCCTTCCACGAACCTGTCTAAACAAGTCCTGGGCTTGTCGAAGACGAACTTTGTTTAGCTTAATAGGGTCGTTCTTGCAAAATAGCATTGCTTCCTCATATTTCTTTTTGGCCAACAGCACTCGCCACATGTAGCGGTCTTCCTCATACACCTTGTACTTAAAGACAACCTAAAAGCGATTGTGAAGCGTTTAAGTGAAAATCAAGTAGTTAGCTTTGAGCTCTAGATGCTTGATTCTATTTTAGGGCATATACTGTGATACCTTTTAGCTTGAGACCGAAGCCTATTCACGTGCCAAGCCGCACCGCTTTAGATCATAACATTTCACATGTAGATGATATTTCTTTCATCCAGATTCTCTTGCACATGAAAAACTATACTTAAATTTAATGACCAACGAAACCTGGAGAAGGGCGGGCTACGCGATCCGATGCATAGGCTCACATTACGCAGTACATGAATTACACGACTATGAGTTTTAATTAGCTTGGTTCTAGATGCAACTGTTAAGGAAACGTGGTATATTATACGCCAAGAGTTACACGGCGTCACGCATGACAGTACCTTCGCTGGGCAAGTTCTCTAATAGGACACGCCGGTCTTATAGTTTTAAAATTTAAAACTTAGAAACGTGAAATGAAAAATTGCGATTTTTCTACTCATTCAATAAGATTATATTTTTGTAAACATAATTAAGCGTGTTTATTTAATGATTCGAACTCAAATCAACCTTACTCAAATATACAAGCCCAAAGCCACATCGGTTTGAAGAATCACGTAATATTTTTATGTAACATATCATAGCATGACACAACAACGAATAGTATCTATAGTAGCGGGATAATTGGTGATTGTTGATGCAACCGATGAGGGTGGTAAGGAGTTCCAAATATACCTGTGTTAGTAGTAACGGTTGGCAAACTCACTATGTAATTTTCTCAATTAATTAACTGTTTACCGACGTCCTATAGTCAAGGTTTAGCAGGATATCTACAACGCTGATAATGGTGGAGACGAGATGTAGTTTAGCTCTGACGGATCTGTACATTGATTCCGACCTTAGACATCATAATTGTGAAACGGTGAGAATGAAAAGGCTTAATATACAAATGAGCTTTAATAGACCAAAGATAGCCCGAACAGCATTACACTAATCTGTCGTTATAGGCCACAATGATATATGTAATTATCGATTTAAGAGAATATCTACAAAAATACGAAAGCGTGTATTTGGAGGAACCTAGTCGCAATGCAAACAAAACGTATTGGAAGTAATTTCAGTACGTAATTAGCCTTGTCTAATGCTTGTGTAAACGTCAAGCCAAAATGCTTCGTAACGGATTAGTTCGACCGAACGACTATCCTGTCACGGTTGATTGAGTTCTGTAGCGCGTAGGGCATTAAAAAGTTTAAAAGAGGGCAAATTCCGTTTTCGAAATGTTTACGCATTAGCGAGGTAATTCTCAGAACTGCAGATACCTGCTCTGAGGAACGATTTGGGAACCTCTTCTTTGAGAACAAGGTCATCGGTAAGATGAACGACATGGGATCCGTATGCGCGAAATTCGATATCGAGGAACAGTACAGTCACATAAAGGATAAATGTCAATGTAAATGTAGACCTACGGCAAAACCTAGTGGAACCCCATCTGCTTCTAAAAGGTGGTTCGAGATCGCATTACTAATGCATGCAGCTAAGTAGCTGAGTAAAAGACAGAAAGGGCGTCGAAGCATGCGCTAGTGATTAACTTACTTGAGCTGTCTTGTCAAACCCATATTTGCGATAAAAAATAAAAGGCAATTCAACCTTTAAAAGGTATTGTGGACGTATTTGGTGGACAAGTCCATATTGAAAAAACGCAGCAGCGATTTAGAGTCAGCGCAAAACATTGGAGCCATTCTGCGCCAATCTTGACTTACGTATAATCGATATTTTTTTAACGATTTATATTCTTACGTGGATGACTGGTTACCATGAATATGTTTCTTCACCTGATTAAAAATACGCTTAAAGTATTACGAAGCTCCACCGGGAAGTTTTCAGTGTTGAACTACTTATAATGGATAACATTATGCGTATAGAGTACACAGTACCGTATCGGCTATAGTGTAAACCGTTTAAAGAGTTTACTGTGATTTAATTTGCAAACGTTAGTGACCAATCAATAGAGGAAACACTGCCGGTTAAAATTGCTCTCACACTATTCTCTCGTTATTCTATTAATTACAGGTAATAAGTTTTTGGAAGATAGATATGACTAGTAATCTAGTCATTTTTGATCTGCAACTAAGATTCATGTCGCCCGCGGGTGTACCTTACGAGCGGATAATAGCATTCCGGTCAACATGTAAAAGTTTTGGCAATCGTTGCAGTAAAAAAACACTCAACGAAACGTGCTTTAAACGATTCGTGAGCATCGATTATAGAGACGAACAGCTAGTGCCACGTGTAGAGCTAGTTGTCGCAAGGTACGGCAACTCATCAATTGTAAAAATGACAATATTAGAACCCCATAGATAAATCTCCGAAATGTACACCATTTCAACCTAGTCTTCTGTGAGTACTTGTACTTGTTGTTCATATTCACTCTTCACTTCGGTGTTACGGGTATTAATATTGGTTATAAATAATGTTTGTAAACGAAGTCTGCAAAACAGTCGGACGAAATTCGTGTTTCAATGCAGGTAAGGTACATAACCTTAGAAGTGCATCCACTGATTACATCAGCAGCGAACACAGGTATTTCCTTTTGGATTTCGTTTGACTAATAGTGAAATTACCGTGTTTGAGAATGCCCAGGTAGATCCGCTGATTGGATCTCTGGCAAGTCCCAGCATGCCTCCTTGTGGAAACGGGTCCTCCATCACCAGCGAGTGATCCAGCTGAGAGAAAACTTTTAGTCTGTAATGGAAAACGAATTTTCAATGTAGTCCATTGTCAATACAATTTGTTTAATAGAAGTTACTCTCTTCAATTTTAGGAATGCCCAGGTTTTTTGCATGTACAAGGTGTGACAAAAGTCTCTTGACAGTCCGGAACTCATTTAATTGTCGAAGAGTCTATTTTACGTTTGTTACAGTGGCAAGAGATATGCAACTCGATATAATAAAGTGCGACTTCGCTAATATGCAACTGTCACGTGACTTCTGTTTTAGTCTGTAGCTATAATTTTCGGATATTTTGTAGCTAACTTTTACCCTCTATTTATTATAAATAAAAGGATATATATTTACAATAATTATATAATATATGAATACGAATAAATCTAACATAATGTGTGCAAAGTTGCAAAACGCACTTATCTCCGAAGAGAATAAGTATGTGGTATTTGGACAAAGCCATCGATACCGGCTGTCCTCTCTCCGTGATTTCAGATTGAGGTGGCGGGTCAAACCCCAGTATCCGGGGCTCTTCACAAAACCGCAGCCAGGGGTTATTATCAATTGCACCTAATGACTCCGTTGATACGCCTAGCTGAAGTATTATAGAAGCAAATTGAGAGAGGTTAAAGCGGGCTTCATTGGATCCGCTATTATTGGTCTTCGTCAGATAAAATAAAAACATCTTCTGAAGATATTCATTTGCTGATCTAATATTTAACCAAAATATAACTGCATGAGCAACGGACGTAATCGGAGCTTCTGAAATATTTGTAACAGATGGAATTTGGATAACAGATGAAGATTTAATAAACAGATGGAAGGTAAATACTACAAATTAGAGAATATCAACCTTAGAAAAATAATCATAAAGTAAGAAACGACGTACGTCTCCGTGGTAAACACCAACTGAACCAAATAGACACGCAACGTGTGTTGGGTGCTCCATTCCCTTTGGTTTGAGCACATGGAGGATACTTTGCTTTTTTGACTGGTTAGGCAGTTCGCGACTGTTGTTGTAGGCCCACGATTGCGACGATGTGAAGATGGCTAGATGAAGACAGATAGAACAAACATTAGCTCTGTGTGCGTGTTTAATACGCATGATAAAGCAAAAAATATAACTTATAGGTTAGGAGCTGCTGAAATAAGGTGCGCTTGTCTTCAACCATCAGTCTACTTCTTTGAGTGAGACTTCCTTGTGGTACCAATTTCTTAGTTTCGTGGAGAAACTTCTGCTATCGCCACACGACTCTTGAGTTCAAAGGAGATTAGCACCTACTTCCGAACACCGGTTGAGGTTCAACCGTTGTTACAGTTGGTCCGAAGAAGGTATATAAGCACCGCATCGTTGATACATAAACTACTGCCTGAGGCTGACTTTCTGCAGGGTTTGATACTAACTCCAAATGGAGGCCGCTAACGGAGGCCTCATCCTTTAATCGATAAATCTGGAAATCACACATTTAAATTTACAGAGAAATTCGAATCTTGTCAAGAAATAATAGTTCAATTGCAAGATTGTGTCTCGTTGTCGACATAGTTGAAGCAATGATATATAAGGAAAAATATTATAATTTTGTCCACTATTAAATGTTAATTGAAAAATGAGATTATTACATGATATTCATATGGTTTGGTCAACTCTATTAGGCTAATTATGCTTGAATTAAGACTAACCCAACTCGGGAAGTCAACATATATGGCCTGGCCAGATGGCTTTGGACTAACTAGATCCCTCCGCCTTTTAAATATCATACCTCTTTACAGTATTTCTCTGATGAGTTAGATTTCGAAGTGAATTTCCAGTCACCGTCTGTCGAAGCACCGAACTCTGCTTCAAAGATAAGCCCTTTTGATGTTGCTAGAAGGATTGGGCCTGTCGAAATGCTCTGTCGGTTATCTGGGTTGAATGCTACAGCCGTTAGCACATGATTTCGAAGGATCCTGAATGAAAAGACAAACGTTAAAAGCAATCAACCTTACACTTTATTGGCTTAAACAAAACATGCTCTGTATAAAAGGCATTACATACACGACACCTTTTATATAAAAGAATAGTAAATTTTTTTCTTCAACCCACAGAATAGTTCAATTATTGCTCGTCACATATATTTATTCGTACGGGATGTTAGAGTCTGGCTATATTTATAATGTTATACTATTTCGCACTTGTGAATGATCCTCTTGCTTCCATTGGGCCCTCCTAAGTAAATGTAGAAGTTCTCTCCTTGATCCGTGTTGTTCTGCAGCATGATTGAGACTAGCAGATGGTTGCCAAAGGGATCGAGGAACACGTGATGCATGCGATACGACGTAAAGGAACCCGGCAATTGTGACGACAGAGATAGCTCTGAATATAGAAAGAGAGAAGGAGCTGTTACACTCTGAAACTCCCAGATATTACTAGTAGACCCTATTTAATAGATATATTAACTTAGAATCCCCTTTTTCTGACTGAATTAACGTAGACGTCTCATACTTTATAGATAACGGCTGTATTGTGTTTTGTAGACTTAGAAAACCTATGAATTTATTGTATTCCTTCTTTGTAAGCATTACTGCCAATGCAAGAAATGATATCATTTGCTTTTGCCTATTGCCACACAGGATTCACGTCAATTGTACGTAGATAACAGCTATATATATATATATATATATATATATATATATATATATATATATATATATATATACACTTTGACATCGCTCAATGTTGATAGTCGCTTTTCTGGATAAGGTATGGCAATACAATTTCTTTGTACTGTACATACCTTCAGGCTCTTTGGGGTTTTTTAAGCAAACCCGAAGCAGGCTCTTGTCGATCATTCCCATAACAATAGTCTCATTGCAGGCTACCAGATGAGTTAAGGATTCCCTCGGGCTACGGTCAGATTTGATTTTGCAAAAAAAAAACATTCGAAAACCACCGGAAAGGCATACACTCAGTCGATTACTCGAATGCTAATGCATAAAAGCTGTTAACCTATCTATTAAACATTATGCGATCATGTTTCAACGGGTTTACTCCAGTCGATACGAGTATAAAGGTATCAGTATCTACAACAGCCTAGAGCTACAGTAGAATCAGGAAAATAGGCGCCAAAGGCAGAGGAAATTTAAAAAAATATTATGGTTTAACATTTTGGAAAAGCGAGGGACGATACATTGCTGATAAAATATAAGTTTATGTGTATATGTTTTATGTGTAACTAGTACATTTTACTAAATTTGTACAGTAAGTACATGTTAGCAGGATATAATCATTTTGAATTATAATATAAGTTTATTAGTAATTAATTTGCAAGTTAACGGACCACTTGCAGAGAGTCAACAAAACAAATCGGCCTAGGAAAATTATCATTCTAAACTTACTTGAATTCAATTTTTAATTTCTTAAACATCGGTGTCTCCTGTTCAGTTTTCGTAAGTTGACTGATAGGCTGCAAATTAGAAAACAGACGTACGCCTCAGAGAATTGTATATGTTCAAACAATCAGACTACACCCTATATAGGGGAAAAAAAACTACTTCTGAAGAGACAGATGAAGAAAAAGCATGTTAAAGTATGTCAATAATCGAATTCAAAGGGAAATCGGATAACTGAATTCAAATAGTACAGATCTTACATTTTGGGGTACTGCAGGGTTAAAGGACGCGTAGGATAAGGCTCTCGGCATTGGCTCGGACGTCTGTTGCTCATATTGATCTAGCGACATCATTTTGACTTGAATAAGCCGCACTTCTACCGTTGTTAACGGCGCTGACCAACTATGAAAATTAAGAGGAAACGTTAGTCTCTACCGCGCGACATTTGAGACACCGTCGCTTCATTTCAAGAACGCGCAATCTGGCGCAAATCCAACCTTTTACCTACATTCATATTTATGCGCATCTTAATCTTGCAATAATTTCAGACGGAACATTAATTCAATGGAATATGAATCTTGCAAGCTTGTAGTAGTTTAACTGCTTCTTTTCATCTTTTCAGGGAGAATCATGGAGAATCTTTCAGGGAAAACGTTTATCAATTTCTACATCAATAAACCTAGCTTATTGGCTAGTAATGAATCATTCAACTCTGAATAAGGAGAACTGTCATCAATACTATAACTAAATCACAAGCTTCAAAAATGTATTGTAACATGTAAGTCGAGCTCTCTATATCAGTATAACTCAAAACACGATTTATTATCAGTCAGCATAACGAGACAAAGCGGTTTATAAATAATCGGAGATTTTCCAAAGCTATATATTCTTATATTAATACCGGGGCAGCACGTAAGTGCCAGTACGTCTGTTTGATTATTTGATAATTATAGGCTAACTTGAAATAACTGCACTTGCTTGACTACGCTCAAATCATAGTGGCGTCGGTTTACGGGGCAATGCCCGTCATATGGGCTAAAATGATCATTCTGGTTGGTTCCTCCTACTGCAAATAGCAACCTAAAATCTTTTGCAGACTTATGAGTATACTAATGATTATCTACCCATATCAAAAAACGAAAAGATGAAAACGAAAAGAAAAGCAACCTGGAATATACAAATAATGCTGGTTTTGAACTGCAATTGTAGCTCCCTGCACACGATGTTAGTCAACCCCTAAACCTGATAGACTTTTAGATCGTTGCGAAGGGTACGCGTCGGGTAGTCTAGATTCGAAACCTGTCGGAATTAGCGGTCCGAAACAACAGTTAACGATCATAGCAGGTATAAAACTAAGAACATTTATTAAATTGTTGACAATATAGCACATCGAAGGTGCACTTATTTTTACGCGGTTGACCCCTAAACTGTGCGTTATCTGTCTACACCCTTCGTGTCTAGGACGAACTCAATATACATAGATCTTTGTCAGCCAGAACCGACCGAGTAGTAGTTCCACCAATGAATGCTTTCAATGAAAAAAAAATTTCCAAAGGAACGTTATAAGTGAGAATGTACGGAAAATACGATACGTTTGTTATTACAGTTACTCAGATAGGCTAGGGTCGCTTTATGAAACATCAGGTAACGCTTTCTTACATTCTTCTAGTATCGTTCACTTATGTTTCACTCCCCGCCGAAGAAATTTCTAGTGGCGCACAAACAAAATGTGTAGTCGGTCACATTAGATCGACTTGGAAACCTGCTGTCGTTCTATGTTTTGGCTGATGAACGCATCCTAGAGACATCGCCGTTAACGGGCGCTTAGCCACGATTCGTGTATATGGATTAAATGTGTGGTATTTACTCAGTGTAGCAACTCTGCCCAACTGTTAGAACACTCTAATGCTGTCACTAACCTTTCCTCCCAATAAGCAATAAGACGTGTGCAATTTTCAAGACGGTGCCTCATTCAATAACTTCAAATCACAACAATCAACATCGTGTGCTCTTCCTGTGTATAACACGTCATAACAAATACATAATAATCTAAACCAGAATATTAGTCCCGTCTAAATAAAGGAGGTTTACGTTGAATACTTAAACAAATAAATGGTAATATTGGTTAGGTATGTATGTTTATGCATAAATGCACTAATTTTTGTCAGTGGGGCTTATCTTTTTTATTTCAATATATTGTGCACACAGTTAGATGTATTTAGCTTGGAAAATGCGGACCAAATATCCTTAGAGTGCTAATTTGGTATTAGTTGATGAAACTGTTACTTTTTATCAGTAAAGCTTCTTTTTTTTGGTATTGCCCCTCTAAGCTTCTAATAGGTGACGCTGATGTTTGTTGTGCACTAAGTGGCGATGTAGTTACTTCCGTCTTGGCCAGCGGAATGGGGCTTGTTGGTGTGATTTGTTTGAGTACCGTTTTTTCTGTGACACTTCGTCTGTATTTTTGGTACAAGAGCAGCTCCGAATTCGCTCTGCCATGACGCAAAACCGGCGGATTACTCGTGTAACCCTAGCAAACGACGTTTTCATTCTCTCCGAGGCATTTATACGCTAAGCGATATACCACAACAAGTGCGTTAACTTAGGTGTTAGTAGCAAGATTCGTACACATTATCTCACGCAGGTTTTACTGTTCAATATTTCATATTAACTGTTGTCTCGGTTTACAAATTAAATTGTTAGAAACAATACTGCGTACAAATGTATCTAGATAATGATGACCATAATATTGTAAGGTATGGTTGCTTAATGTAATATACGTTGCAGTTACAAAAAGATATTATATAGAAGCACGCATTCATTCAGTGGTCCTTGATATCTATCTTGTTTCCAGTTATTTAGTTTTACTTATAAAATTTCTAGACATCTATATGCCCGTATAATGCGCCAACATATGGCGCTGAACCGGTACTTCGGAAAAATGCTTCAAGTGCTTTTTTTGTGTACTGCATGCCCCACATTATGATGTCGTCCGATTTAACGAATATATTTTAAGGGTCTTCATTCAGCACACATTTGACAAGTATTACCTTGGTTTTATAAAATTAAGAATTTCACATCTGGCTCAGAGAGTATGTAGCCGGGCCTAGGCTACCTAACAGACTGTATGCGTTTTTGCGAACTTCTCATATGTGCACAATTTTGCGGTCTCGTCTTAACCATGTCAGGAAAAATGGGAGGGTCAACGGGTTTGTCAGTCTTGGATTTATAGCAAACTGAAGGTGGTGTTTCAGCTGCAGATTCGAAGTAAATTGGTATCAATCACCTCGCTAGCAACTGCAAAACTTCGAAGCCACGAACCTTACCACAACCGCACGAGAGATCAAGTTTTTCATTTAAGAAACAAAGCTGAAGTTACCGAATAACGGCAACAAGGAAAACATTATTTCCGTGGATCACCAAAATCGGCAAATTTACTTACTTCTAATGCAAATGCTTTCTCAGAACTGTTTCAACATAAAATGAGATTAAAGGTAATACTTCCTATCATACGAGTGTGAAACATAAGTTGTTATTAATAGAAACGTGCTAAAGGAAAATAGAATGACTGATGTATTGTTTTAGCCATTTCTCGTTAGGTGGCTATTGTATCGATGCGCTATTAGCATAACTTCGAATCGCTAAGCGATGTATCGCTGATTTATATTTGCGCGACGGGGATAAGGATACTATGGCGAAAACCAAGTATGCTAAGTTGGTGGCAAGCTTTCTGCATGTCCAGGAAAAGTTGATATTAGGGAAATTATAGGCCATGAAAGCCATGCAAACAATACAGCCTAACAATGACGACTATGTCTCACGTTGAAAACATTTTTGAGATACGTTTTACGCTACTTACAGCTAACGACTGAGGTGAAGCAATGACCACTGCCTTAAACGCTTTTGAGAAATAGTTGAAAAGTTGAAACAACTTCGATTCCACGGAGGCTGTAATAGGCTTATCCAAGTAGCGTCAGCCGCAGTGATCGCTGAACAGACGATAGCTCTGGACAGTGCGTGTCCCTTCGCCGTGGCCAGAAAGGGAGAAAAAGGTATTAACAATATCACAAACAAAAATATGTGTCTTGCTGGGTAAGGTATTTCTTAGGTGTCAGTAAGAAGATAGTACTAAACGTAAATTATCCTGTCACTGATATATCTCTGTTTGATGCTCTTCAACAACGATTGTACTTTCTTATTCACCCCTATAGACAATATAGAAGAAAGTTAACATGCGATCTTAAACGCAGTTCTGCGTAGATGTTGTCATGTTGTTGGTAAGGGTCGTAATCCCTAGAGCTTTGCACTGCCCTTTCCGTTCTGATTTTCAGGAACAGACTAAGTATTATTGACATCATCTGTCCAACGTTCGTTTTGAGTTAAATTTGCCGTGATGAGTTTGCCACGCTTTTAGTGAAACAAGAATTTTCATTTACTGATCATCTGCCAACACCTGATAGCGATGTTATTCATTCATTTAGTGCTTTATTGATGCTTTGATAACGTATCACTAGAATCGTACATTGGTTATAGAACATATGTCACAGTAATGCTCTCCAAATATATAAGGTATGCTATTGATTTTTAGCCTCTTTCCTCAGAGGATTGTATTTCCTTCTCGTGTAGCGAGTCTTACCTTTGACTGTGTTGATTTCGTTTGGGCACCCCGAAGAAAAACCCATTTATTCAGGGTATGTCAATTTTGTAATGAAGCGTAATCACGGAACGAAGCTTGCCGACTTCATTCAGTGATTGCTTCCTAACTTATATTCACCCGCAAAGAGTTGCACACTTTTCCCGATTATGGCTTTAATTAGGGCTTACATTCTGCAGCTGTTGCCCATCATGTGCCAGTTAGTGTACTTCTTGCAGTTTACTTAGCTTGCATACTCGTTGATTTTCGATTATTCGTGCCACTCAATTTAGGATGAGGACAGCAAAACATATACACGTAATAAATTAGCATAGGTACACACGGTTTCCAAGCTAGCCTTGGTCACAACTACGAATGGCCTAAGTCACATGCATAATTTAGAATTTTCCAAAGTGTAAGCCCGCTGAATGTATGTGAGCAGGTAACTGACAGCTAATACTTGAAATCTGTTTACTGAAACGGACGGGGTAAATTGTAGCGGTTACAACAAAGATAGTACAGATCCAAAATGTGTTTTGCCACTGTAACAAGGAACAGCCAGCGCCACTTATAGCTAATCTATGAGTGTGTAATAAATATGTTTAATAATTAATAAATCAGGCTAGGTGCGGCATCAGCGGATCAGATTAATTAAGATAACGGATAAGCCTAGTACAAATTAAAATTGACTTTAAAACTTCGTAATTCGAGCAGATGATTTTTTAGCAGTAAGAGACAGTTCTGCAATGCTCAGCCATGCGTGGTCGCATCAGACTCTAGCTAGTTTTCATGTCCAAAAAATGTGTATTTTAGTTCTGTCAATAGAATACGCCAAATCATAGAATTTTGTCTGATCTTTTTGCAGTGGCCTCACGACTTTAGGAGTCTATTTGAACATTCTATGCTTAGGACATATGTGCTAGTTCATAACTGAAATAAACAATTGTGTGCGTGTGCCCGCATTTAAATTTGTCTCGGTTGTTTTTGTTTTAGGCGTTGTTCAGATGGAGTCTGCTACGGCAAGTAAAAAATATCTTTGTGATTGTCTAATAAAATGTAGCTTAGATTGGTGCTGAGCAATGTTGCTATGACCTTCCTCATCTGTCACAAGCTTTACTTATCAACTATTGTAGCAGTTTTCGTGTTCGGGTGTAGTTGTGGTCGACAGTGGGCAATTACTAGTAGTGCATGTTGGCAACTTCGTGCCAGGGATTATCTTCTTTATGGTCGCGCCTTGCCACTATGCGGTCCTATTCAGTGAACATACAGATCGTAGAATAGTGCACGGCAAGGACTCGAGTATTGTTTCTGTTTGTTTAAACATGTTCGGTTTATTTAGTTCGCTTCATAAAACAGTATGTTGACCTATGTGACTTCCTATATTGTTTATCTATACTACTGTCTAGTTTTTTTTTGTAATAATACCGTTATTGTCTCTAAATTCATTTCTTCTATGCTTTTAACTAGCGGCAACAAACTTTTACAGCGTAACTCATTCATGTTTACTAAACATTATGGAGGGCTACACAAAAATTATTTACGTACCGAAAAACGTTTATCAATGAATACTTTCGAAAAGCTTTCGTAAATAGATGCTGTTTAGTGATTCATAGGATGAAAATAATTTAAGCTTGTGAAGCAGACAACTCTACATGAACCTCATAAATCGAACTGAAGTCCATTTCAGTTTGAGCCCGATTACCCGCGCTAGCCCAATCTTTAAATATCAACCTTGTTAGGATAGAAACTTTCTCTATAAATGTCTCAATTATTTAATTCAATGAATATTTCCTTCGACACATCGTACGATTGTGCTCATAATATCAGTATGTGTATATATATATATATAGCGGCACATGACAGGGAATGCCACTATTTCATGTTCTACAATAGTCGCGCCATGCTCATACAACGATAGAAGTGAGAGGATCATTGTTACATACACAAAATAGGCAGTACATTACCACCAGTTCTCAATGGTTTTCAGTAGAACAGGCTGCTCAATCCCGCAGTGCCGTGATATTCTGTAAACTAACTAGATTTGGAGTGCCTATTGTTTCTATAAGTGTTCCCTTCACAGTGGTCTACGACCAAGTAAACATGTAAGCAACCTTTCTTCCGATGTCTTCCCTGCTGGTCGGTAAAACATAGCTCAGGCATTAGCCTGCATCAGTGCGGTAATGACGCTCAGAATACGACCGCTGTTCTGAGTTTAATTTCAACATATAGTCCTACTATATTAGAACGACAGATCGTTGTCAACACTAGGGAAGCATCAGAAAGACAGATCGGCTGAAGGATTTTCACCGCTCTTCCCGCCAGTTGAATTTAGTAATAGGGCCATCGCCGGTTCGGCAGAGATTTTATTACGGCTCAACTGATCCGAGAACAGGGCGGATCCTTGTGGTTGGGTCCTTGAGCAAATGATACGTGCCTGAAAGCCTGTATGCGATCGCCTCGCCCTTCCTTGGAATAATCAACGCGTACATGAAAGAGTTGAAAAAGTACTTAGCTGGAGGTGCTGTTATGAAAAGCATTGTAGTTCTGAGTTTTTAGTGACGCCCCTATGACGTCACTTCCAAGATCCCTTTAGAAACTATTACCCCTGTCTAGAAGTTAACTTAGCGCTTTTGTACGCGCTTTCAATATAAGCTATAAAAAAGCTAATATCTATTTTGAACATCAGCTTCAAGTTGTAGCTCCGAAACTTACGCTTATCTCTTATGGTGTGAGCTTCAGCAATGTGATTAATGGGTTGTCTGTTATGCGATGACTATCAGCAACCGTGCATCGATTGTTTCAACCATAGAGAACTTGAGCGACGTCTGGCTTGAGTCCGAGACTAACCGTATGCCTATTTGTTCTCCTGTAATCAATTAAATGAAATCCATCAATTGAGTCTTTATTGGAGCATTATGAAGTTTTTTTGAAAGAACTACTGTTCACTTGTTGTAGCCAGTATAAGGATAGATGCCTCCATTTAATGTCGAATTGTTAATTTTCATATATATATATATTCAGATTTATCCAAAATCTATCTATGCTGACTGTGTCTATTCAAATAGGTTCGAAAGGCTAGTTGCCTGTATATTTAGGTTCACAACACAGTGGATGTACTTGTTATACCTCATAGGTATTCTAACCCGCAAATAGGTTAGAGTAGACAGTGAGTGCTAGGTATCTGATAGATGTTTTGTAGGCTAAACGATGAAGATATGATAGTGTATTGTAACATAGCGGCTTTACGTGCACGAGCAACTGAAGAAGTGCTTTTCGGTATAGAACACGTAGAGTGCGAGTCATCATGTTAGCGTGCCATATCGCTGTTGTCTTGTACGTTAGCTTGTTCCATGAGTGCTTTATATAAACAGAAATGTAATATAATTACTAACACAGTCGAACGATAGAGTGAATCCAGTGAAAATGAAGAAGACGAACGATCGCAGTTCCTTTGGTCACACGTTGTTAACGAATAGCACCCAAAAGTAGAGCAAAAATCTGGTGTCGTTTGGCCCCGGTAACTGTTGGATAATGCGCTTCTTAATATTCCCATGGCGTCCCATATTGTATACGAATTTTTCCATATTGCTATAAACCAATCATAAGTCCGAAATGTCTGGCTGAACCGAAACTGAAGGAACGCTAACTGAAGGAACTGAATAAACGATATTAGTAATACTCTATGGTTAGGTTACGCCTGCGTGCCATTGGTGCGCTAGCAGAAATAGATGTGGAGCACCACAAAGAAATATGTAGATAGTGCGTAAATCTAGATCATACTGGGTAATATGGTTTTGTTTTAGCAAGCAGATTTTTGTAACGAATAACCACTTATTTCGTGATGTGTTAGCATTTTTTTTTGCTTGCGTGAAGTTGACATTTCTTAGTCAATTTGGTATCTTGAACTGAACAGCCTCTTTAACTTTTCTGTAACTTAGAGTCTACACGTCAGCTACAAGACAGCTTGGAGTCTGGCTCATATTTTACGGTAATCTAACTTGAGTTGATTTTTATGGATCTAAGAGGAACGTGATGCCGAAAACCGTCTGCTAGGTTGGTCGCTGGCCTCTCGAATGCTTTTGGAGTATTGCCAGGTAAATGGTGGAGGAAAATTATAATTTCGAAAAGGGAAGGGGTTAACTAGGCGACTATTGTACGAATGAAGTGGCGCTGCATGACGATCTGGTAAAGCGGCATTCTTACAAGCGTACGGATAATATGTATTGTTGTCTACAATGGACGGTTTACACGAGTATAATAACGAGTGCAATTGAACAATGATACGAATCAGGCGGGTTGTGCGCTAGCGAAAACTAGCTGAAGGGATAACGCCGACATATCGGAAACGCTGTCCAAAATCGTTACTCACCAGAGCGCGACGATCGCCAGCTGAAAGTCATAAACGAAAGTGTTGTAAGTTCTGCGATGTTTGCAATTGAATGCTTGGGTGTGCAGCGACCTGGAAGAATCCGGCGGCCGGGCGATAAAACTACCGTCTCAAAAATGAAAATGGACAGATGTCTGTTAGATCAGTGCGTTTGTGGCTCGGTATCGAGCAAATCGGAATAGATTTGTAGCAAAACTAAACAATTATAAATAGATTACTGTTCTAATAGTTTTAGAAGAATAACAAACAGCGAATTAAGCTATACGAAAAGCTTCAGCTCCAGTTTGAATGATCTGATTAACGGTACGGTTCTGATAAGTTGTCATGAAGTTAGGATGTTAGTACGATTGAAATAAAACGCTGCGGTATAGGAAATCTGTCCAGACAAAATAGCGTATATATTAAAAGTAGAAAGAGTCCTTTAGACTAGTGGTCGCAATATAATGGTTTTTACTGAAGGATTATTAGTAGCTTGCTATAGACTGTCGTCACGTTATTCGTTGAAAAATTAGCGATGATTTAATAGAAAATGATTTAAATCGTAATCACAGGATTCTCTAGAGGAGTGGAGCTAGCCGATGGGAATAGTTACGCCAACGACATTTTATTTTCTAATAATGCCCTAAAACATCGGCCGATAGTTTCTGTACTACTAATAGATCGGTCTTTCTAGGACGTAATCTTCTGATGCTGTGAGATGTGTGGATGTCGCGTTCGAAATTTGCACCAAGATCTTCGCTGAACCTCTATTAAAGTTGTGTTTACTACAGTCAGAACAATATGGAGCGCAGCGACTTCTCGAGTGATTGGCAAAGGCGATCGCATTGTTGATCGATCAATAACTGGACTCCGGCGCTTGCATACTGATTTCGTTTACCTGCCTGCTTTGTTTTTACTTATCATTCAGTATAGCCGATTTGCTTAGGCTACTCTAGCATACCAAGATGTTACAAAAAAGGTCCAACTGATTTTACGACAAGATACAAACAAAAAATGATAGCTTCCTATTTATAAAGCTCCAACTACAAAGCTACCCTGTCATAGCTGCTGGAGCGAGATCTAC